ATTCATTGATCTGAGTTCAGCGGGTAGTAATACTCCTGAAAACCACTCGCAAACATTCATACACCTAGATGCAACTACTTATACCTATGTGTGCAACTACTTAGAACTATATGTGCAACTACTTAGAACTATAAGTGCAACTAAGTATTGATGCTCAGTGTAAATTTTTACTTGCACCTATAATACATTTTACATGCACTTGTAATACATTTTACTTGCACTTCGATGTTCAATTATTTACGAAAATGCCACCGCATTTTTAAAAAAAAAATCAGTGTTTCTCATCCATTAGATCTGGACACGTGGACGAACAGAATCCATTCCTATTTCGCGCCTGGGCGAGCCGTTCGTACCCGAGTGCAACTCTATATATATATATATATATATATATATATATATATATATATATATATATATATATATATATATATATATATATATATATATATATAGGTACAATTTTGTATTTAATGATTAACTAGTCTTTCTTTAAATTATTTATAATTTCATTTTTCATGATATTTAAATTAGTATTAATGTATGAAATTTATATATTTAAAAATTAAATGAAATTAAAAATGTTATTCAAGCGCGTATCTATCAACACTTTTACTATAAGTAAATTCCGTCACCACTTCACCAGCCATTACATCAACAACTTGTACGTGATGTAACCGATTTGAATGTTTAGCTAAAAAATTCATGTCAATTCGATCGACAACTTACTATATATTACAGAATTATACGGAGTATTTGTCGAATCTCTTATATAAATAGAGCTCTCCACTTGTATATTGATCATCAAAATCTTTCACTTCTACTTATATTTGGATGAACTTGAATTGAGAGCCTTATGAGTTTCCGGACACATGTAAATTAGTTAGAATAGGTTGTACTAAATCTATTGACTGTTCATCAAATACACTTTTTCTAGTAAATAAAAATTATCTATTAGAACTTCTAAATAGTGTATAGCGATACTTGTATTATATTCTTAAAAACAATTATGCTCAAACTAGTAAATGCACAACTTCTATGGTCCGTTTGGTTCACGAAAAATATTTGAGGTAAAATTGAATTGAAATTCTATGGAAAATAAATTACCGGAGAGATTAATTACATTATTTGGTTGGTGGAAAATAAATTACTGTGAATATCAATTCCATTGTTTGGTTGAGTTTGAAATTGTAAAGAATAATGACTATAAAGACAATTATACCCCTACATAATAATAACAACAATAATAATAATAATGGTAATTAAGAAAAGTTTGTGAGGGTATAATTTTCCTACTTGTTTTCCATGGAAAACAAAATACCAAGGGGGGACCATGGAAAATGTTTTCCTCATTTTTGAGGAAAATATCTTCCAATGGAAAATATTTTTCATGAACCAAACAAAGAAAAATTAGTTTTCCTCAAATTCAATGAAAATATTTTCCATGAACCAAGCATTTGAAGAGGAATGGAATTGAAACAATTCCATGAAAAATAAATTCCAAGAAAATTGATTCAATTGTTTGGTTGGTGGAAAAGAAATTGTTGAGAATATAAATTTCATTGTTTGGTTGGGTTTAGAATGATAAAGAATAATGGGTATAATGACAAATATAACCCTACATAATAATAATAATAATAATAATAATAATAATAATAATAATAATAATAATAATAATAATAATAATAATAATAATAATAATAATAATAAATACGGAGTAAAATATAGTGAGGGCAAAATTTTCATACTAGTTTTCCGTGGAAAACTTTTTTCAAAGAAAACAAAATACCTAGAATTAACTAGGAAAAAGTTTTCCAAACAACATAATACACTATTTTCCTTCACTTTTAGAAAAATATTTTTCATGAAAAATATTTTAGGTAATAAAAACTAATGTTCTCATTAGGTAATATTGTCTATCCAATCACAGTCCCGATAAATACCCTACAAACAACCCGTCACTTTATATCCATTAAACATACTTCCTCAACTATATGTTATGGAATGCTCAACTTGTACCATTTCTCTGTGGTCAAAATCTCAATGGATACGTTGAAGGCACGTTTCTGTGTCCGGCTTCATTTATTAAGGCTCTGGGTGAGTGTTCCGTTGTAACTGCGCTCCTGATAAGTATTCCGTTGTAGTTGCGCTCCTGATGAGTATTCCATTGTAACTGCGCACGGATGAGTGTTCCATTGTAATTTCGCTCCAGATGAGTATTCCATTGTAGTCGATCCTACGGCCAAAATTTCAGTCCGTCAAGATTCTTTTATTTTGTTCGTAACAAAATAGCATCAAAGAAACTACAAGAAAACAACATTTCCCCCATTACCACCACCATCTCCCAAATTCCATTAATTCATATTTCATTTACTAATGTTATTAATTTTATATTTAACTGATTAATATTAACATGCATATTGAAGTTGTGATTAGAACCTACTCCGTAGTATTTTATTTTCTTGAAAATTGAGTTTAAAAATAATTTTATTTTATTTTTTTTTTTAAAAAAAAAAGAAGAGAAAATTTGAAGAATAAAAAACTAAAGAAATGAAAAAAAAAAAATGAGGTAAACAAGTCAACATATTATTGGTCCATTTGTGAACCAAAGACCTTAGCTTAGGCAATTCACATTTAAAAAAAAAAATGGAAACCCAAGTTGCCATTTATATATTAATATTAATAAAATGAAATGCTATCCTCTGCAATGCACTACTTATATCAAGTTGGAAGATGGATAAATACATTTCTTTTAACCTAAATAAATAAATAAATTATGCAGTGGAGAAAAGTGGGTTTTACTTTATTATAGAAGTTTGCAAATCCATCCCCCCTCATGGCCTCATCCATCTCTATGCTCTGCATGCCACCATTTTTGTTGTCTAATTTAAGTGAATGTAAAACAGTGATGATGTTCGTTCCTTCTGCCTTCTGCCTTTCCTCTCTCCCATTACTATTAGCCGCCATTTTTGCACTTAGCTCTAAGTCTGCAACACATCTTCTCGAAAACTTGGAAAAAAAATAGAACTTTTGTTCACTTTTTGATAAAGGTACTAAAATTTACAATTTTTTTTTAGGAATAAAGTTCAAATAGGTCATCGAACTGCACACGATAATGCAATTAGGTCATTGAACTTAAAAAATTAACAATTGAGTCCCTAAACTAACTAATTTCAAACAATTCTTCCAATTTGTAGGTTTCCAACAAGTTAACAGGTCATCCTCCAAAATTAATTATTTTTAAAAAATAAAATTTAAAAATTAATTATTTAAATAATTAAAAAAAAAAAAAAACAAAATTCGACCGGAGACGAAGAGTCTCCGGCCGTAGAGATGAAGAAACAGGCCGGAGACGAAGGTTTCTTCGTCTTCGGCCGGAATCTGTTTTTTTTTTTTTTTTTTTTTTTTTAATTTTAATAATTAATTTTTAAATTTTATTTTTAAAAAAATAATTAATTTGGAGGATGATGTGTTGACTTGTTGGAAACCTTCAAATTGGAAGAATGGTTAGGGATTGGTTAGTTTAGGGACTCAATTGTTGGTTTTTTGGGTTCAGTGCCCTAATTGTATTATCATGTGCAGTTCGATGGTCTATTTGACCCTTATTCTTCTTTTTTTTTTTTTTTTTTTTTTTTATAGATAAAAGTTCGATTAAGATGTTATTAATTGACCAGTATTAAAATAGGAGAGTTGAGTTATAAGTTTATATTGGATTTATTTGTGGCAAAAGGGTGGAATCGTTCACTCCCGGCGTCTCCAAATTCGTGACAATTTGTAAAGGGATAAATCATGACTTAACTGATCAACAGAGGCTAACGGTCTAACAATTTGTAAAACTCAACTGATCAACAAAGGTGAGACATCTCCATATTAGAGACTTAACTGATCAACAGATGCTAAACTTTTACTCATTGCGCACAAAGAGCTCCACTCATCACTCAACTGATCAACAGAGACTAGACTTTTACTCATTGCGCACAAAGAGCTCCTCTAATCTCCCACACTGGCGCTAATCATTGGTCATGTAATCAATTTTATTTTATTTTTTTGAATATTACTAACTCTATTATACAAACTGAGGTTCAAACCTGAAACCTCTCAAATGATGGATCAAGCTATACCACTCTCGACCACAAGGTCTTTCGCCAAAAAATTAATTTAATAAATGCGAAATCTTTTAGGGGGCGTTTGGTTCAGGTTATATAACATAACCAATGGAATGTGACATTCCAATGCTCACATTCCGATGTTTGGTTCACATTATCTCAGGGAATCTAACATTCCCCAGGAATGTCACATTCCCTCCACATAGGATTTTGAAGGAATGTGATTCCCTTCAATTTCTAAGTTATGTAAGATAACCTTGGTTATGTTAGTTTATTACACACACACACATATATAAATAATTATTTTTGTAATTATATATTTTTTATTTTTATTATGTTAGGTTAGCATATAAAATAATTTTGTTTCTCAAGTTCAATATTTTAGTTAATATTTTAAAATTATGTAATTATATATGATACCATCATCTTATTTATTTATTTTAATTTTTAAATTTATTTAAATATATAAAAATATATTAAGGATATTATAGTGTGTGAATAAAATATAACCCTAAACCAAACATGATTATATTACATATCCCAATTTTAATCAAACACAGAAATCTAACATTCATAGCAATCTAACATTCCTTAAAGTAATCTGACATTCCGTGAACCAAACGACCCCTTAGGGTGATTGCGAGATGCCAAAGAATGACACCACTTTGGATAGAAATTTTCACAAGTGTCAAGACATTTTATGGATATAGTTGTACTAAGTACTTAGTCTCCCACTCCAAACAAAACTCCACGCGCTAATCACACATCCCAAGTGGCAGCTAAAGCCGTGTTTGGGGTTCCAAGTTGTAATATAATTGAAAAGCCCATTTTCCTCCACTCACTCTCCCCTACCTAAGCCTATAAATACACACTCTTTTCCCCTCTTCACTCGACCAACAAAAGTATCCTCGTTTTTGATTTGGTACGTCAATCTATCTTGCATGGAGATTCCATCAATCTTCTTCTACCTTTTGGCTTCCATTATCTTCACCTTTCTTCTTCTCTTCAAGCTCTTCTCTTCTCCCTCCGCCATGAAATTGCCCCTCCCACCTGGCACTCTTGGCTGGCCCTTCATCGGAGAAACCTTCCACCTCTACTCTCAAGACCCAAATCTCTTCTTCACCTCCAAAATCAAAAAGTAAGTTACTTCATAGTTCATACACCTTAATATCCTACAAAAGACGAAATTTCTCGCCCTAAGAACCTCACATTCTGTCCTAACAGAACTGTAAAGAAGAACCATCCGTAGTTCTTTTTCGAACCATGACCTTTGGTCTGACTTTGATACCAAAATAGAAGCATGTGCTATATCTTAACTAAAAACTTAAGTTGATAGTTGGATTGTACGGTTATATGTTCAACAATGGTGATGGGGAAATTTATGGTTTTTTTGTAGGTATGGTTCTATATTCAAGACCCACATTTTGGGGTGTCCGTGTGTGATGATCTCCAGCCCGGCGGCGGCGAAGATGGTTCTGGTGACGAAGGCTCATCTCTTCAAGCCAACTTTTCCGGCGAGCAAGGAGAGAATGCTGGGGAAACAGGCCATCTTCTTCCACCAGGGAGACTACCATGCCAGACTGCGGAAGCTCGTCCTCCGAGCATTCATGCCGGAATCCATCAAACACTTCGTCCCCGCCGTCGAATCCATCGCCACCAACACCCTCCATTCCTTGCAGGGAAGACAACTCATCAACACCTTCCAAGAAATGAAGACTGTAAGCTCAAAAACAGAGCCTCCATTTTTGTTTCTTGCATTCTTTGCTCATTGCAAGGATATAGGCATTTAATCCTTGTACAATGGTCTATATTCATATAATCTCTATATGAGACAAACTCAACAGATTGGTGTGATTGTTCACAGTACACTTTCAATGTGGCGCTGCTATCCATACTCGGAAAGGACGAGGTTGTCTACCGGGAAGATCTGAAGAGGTGCTACTACATTCTCGAGAAAGGCTACAACTCCATGCCGGTGAATCTTCCGGGAACTCTCTTCCACAAATCCATGAAAGCAAGGGCGGAGCTGGCGAAGATCCTGGCCAAAATCCTCTGCATTCGAAGGCAGTCAAACGAAACCCACAATGACTTGCTGGGATCTCTCATGGCGGACGCCGAAGGCCTCTCCGACGACCAGATTGCCGACAATATCATCGGAGTTATCTTCGCCGCCCGCGACACCACCGCCAGTGTTCTCACTTGGATCCTCAAGTTCCTCGCTGAAAACCCCACTGTCCTTGAAGCTGTCACAGTAAGCTCCCATGCCAATCTCACTATTAATTTTACCCTTTTAGTTAAAATGAAATATTTTTTCAATTTAATATCAAACTTGACATAAAGTTATATAGTCCTAACTGTAACGAAACTCGTCATTCAGTTCAGTCTTAACTAAGACAGAACGCATTATTTAGTCTTATCGGGAAAAGAACAAGTTATTTAGCCTTAGACGAAACAGAATACGTCATTCAGTTTTAGTTAAAACAGGCAGAACACGTTATTCAATCTTAATTGAGGCAGAATGCATCATTTAGTTATTTTAAGTATAATTTTATGGTTATGTTAAACAATAAGCATTTAGTTAAGATGGAACACGTTATTTTTGTCCTTTTGTAGGTTGAGCAAGAGGCCATTATGAGGAGCAAAGAGGGGAAGGTTTTGAGTTGGGAAGATACAAAGAAGATGCCAATTACTACAAGGGTAATTCAGGAAACACTAAGGGTGGCTTCAATCTTGTCTTTCACTTTCAGAGAAGCTGTGGAAGATGTGGAGTTTGAAGGTCAGCTTGACAAAGTCAAAACTACCCATTTCTTGCCTGGTCAAACTCTATTCTATGATTCTGATGTCATAAATCCATTTTTCTTGAAAAAATAAATTCAGGGTATCTCATACCAAAAGGGTGGAAAGTGTTGCCTCTGTTTAGAAACATTCATCACAGCCCAGATCATTTCCCAGATCCAGAGACATTTGATCCTTCCAGATTTGAGGTAATCTTTTGGCCTTGATGATGTATATGTATATATACCTTTTTAAGGATTCTTGTTTTCTTAAATTCCTTGAACTGAGACAACCCATTTTTGCTGTGGTTTGTGGCAGGTTGCTCCAAAACCCAATACTTTTATGCCATTTGGCAATGGGGCCCATGCATGTCCTGGAAATGAGTTTTCCAAGCTGGAGATTTTGGTTCTTGTACACCATCTAACCACAAAGTACAGGTGGGTGAAACAACCTCAAACATATAATTATATGAAAATATATATGTCATCATATATACTACTATGATTGTATCAAATATTATTAACGACGACTTCTTATCATTTTTAGTATAATTTTATTGATATATATGATAATATCGAGTACAAAAGATACCGGTACCTGTTTTTCTTTTTAATTTCTCATTTCCTAAAAATAGAATGTGAAATGTTTGTTGTGGTTCCTGTGTTGCAGGTGGTCTATGGTGGGCCCACAGAATGGGATTCAGTATGGGCCCTTTGCTCTTCCCCAGAATGGATTGCCCATAAATCTTTATCTCAAGGATTCACTCAACTCATCACATTAAGATATGCTTCAAGAAAATCTAGAAAAAAGTACAAAAATTCCCCATTTCCATGATATTTATTTGCAGTAAAGTGAGGAAGAAAGCAATGACATCTGCAATTCTAGACCCCCACCCCCCTGCTATTGATGGCAAGTGACTGCAAGAAGAAAGATGAATGCATTCATGCTCAAAATCACCATTGTTAACACCAATGAATATGGCAGGGAGAGATCATAGAAGAAAGTATTTGCAGAGACAGAAGAAGAAGAAGAAGCTGTACATGATAAGTTACAGATTTCAATTACTACAAATTTATTATGGGATTAGTGTAGCATAGTTAGTCAAATCCAAATTTACTGTTGATATAATGTATCAAAGTCCGCAAGGCAATGTGTATTCACAAGTTCCTTTCAAATAATGCAATTACACAATATTAACATCATTCTGATCCTGTATTGTATTCACAAATTTCCTTCTGTGTTTCAACTTAAAAACATAATTTATATACTAGAAGTTCACAATTTTAATACTAAAACTACACAATTTATACATCGTATAGGACCAGGATCCATGGTATAACAACTCGCTACAACAATGCTAACAAACCACAAGTAAATGGAAAATGAACAAATAAGATGAAAAGGGATGAAAAATTCAGAAGACCAGAGGCTGGAGAACCTAATTTAAAAACGTAGCTCAAGTGTTTATTAAGCAATCTCTTCCAGTCAATTGATCAAAATCTAACCCAAAAAAGAATACATGATGCATAAAGAACTACTAAGAGCATTGTGCGTTTAAAGAACACTGAAATTCAATCACAGTAATGTAACATGCAAGCCAGCCTTTATGATTCTGAAATACTCCAAGAACTTGGTCGAAATCGAGCACAAGGGAAGACTATATATATATATATATATAGTTCAGCTGCCCCTGCACTTTCTCTACCAGGCTTTACTATCTACACAAAACTATATTGCCATGCAACTGATACAAACAACTCCAGGTTAGGTAGGGTAACCTAACCCCATTCTCTGGTTTCTCCAGCGAGATTGTTGTGAGCTGGTGTTTTTGACATAAAAATAAATGCCTCCAGCTTTGCAAGCCGCTTGGGGAACCAGGTTGCTTAACTTAACTCGGTGTGTAATCTGAAGAAATTTCGATTGAACTTTAACCAGCATGTCCAATAACTTAAAATCTATCCAAGTAGGTCACTGAACAGGTTGGGATTCTGAGTTGATGGTGTTACGCCCATTTGCCTCACGAGAGCGTCCTTTTCTATAGCATCTCTAGGATTTGGTCCCTTGCTATTTGGTGATGCCAGCTGTGGTGTTGTATTTCCTCCATGACCATTTCTGTCAGATGCATCGGAAAATCCAAACATGAGACTTGTGTTGCCGGTGCCAGTTGACAGAGGGTTTATAACACCACCTTCACTCTGCCCACTTGAAGTCGTGTCTCCATAAAGGGACATGAAATCAGCCATTTTAGTACTACTAACTCCATCAGATCCTTGAGCGGAAGAGCTGTGGCTGACATCAAGAAGGGATTCCAACTGTTTGAAAGGATCCAGGGGTGGTGCACTACTACTAGTTGGTTCCCCCAAGTCAAGCAAATCTGGAGGCGGTGGCTGAGGTGTTGTTTTTACTGCACCACTATCAGAAGGTGCACTCTTCTCCATGTGTGGCTTGTCTGCAGTACGGCTGTTAGGCTTATGAGCCTTGTGGGTAGCAGAAGAATGCTTTCTTTCAGATTTTGATGTGCCCCCAAAAAGTGAAGCAGCAAATCTTTGTTTTTCTGGATCAATCTCTACTTGCTGCTTTCTTGAATCATTCAATACAACAGGTGCTTTCGAGCTAAAACTGCTCACATCTCGTTGCGTAGCTCCACTCTGAGTCTTTACGACACTGGAGTCTGAAGTAGAGGGTGCAGCAGAGTAAGAGGGTTTCCCCCACTTTTTTTGAACACCATCAAGACGGAGCTTGACTTCTGAAGAGCCTGAATCGGAAGCAGAAGGTTTTGATACCACAGTTTCATAGACGTCTTCATGATAAGATGGCACAGGAACAAGCTCAGTCGAGGATGATAGTGAGACAGGAGAGGCTCTTGATGGCTGTGAGGGTTTAGGAAGCTCATAAGCTTCAAATCTCAAAGAATGGGCATAAGTTCCATTCTGTTCTTGAGTCCTAAAATTGGCGACGCTCGACATTCCCGAACGTTCACTCTCAGGAAGATAAGGTTGAGCGCCCTTTTCCAGCGACTCTTGAACATAAGCATTAAGGAATGAGAGGCTCTTATCAACCTGCATAAGAATTATAAAATATATCAAGTGGGAGCTTACAAAAAGCATTGCATATATTGCCTGAATAGTTTTTTTCAACAATGAACAGTGATCTTATGCAGATCTTATAAAAAACTAAGATGTGAAGTTACTAGGAAAGCATTTCTTAATAAGCTAGGTTAGACTCATTTTTGTCTTGAACACCATGATAATACTTGACAAATTATTCAGGGATGTAGACAGGTTGATAATTGTCATTACCTCAATATCTTCACAACTTCCATCCATTGGGATTATGTTTTCAAGAGTGCGAGCGTCTAAACCAATGACAGCTTGAAGTTCATACGCACGTTGCTGTAAATCTGTTGAATGTGATGCTAGTAATTCCTCAATGAACGATTGACACTGCAGAGAAGAAATAGCTTAGCAGTTGGCAAGCATATTCTTATCTTTGAAATATAATAAACAAAATAAACCACATAGTGATGATGTATAACATCCAGAAAACCCCAGCCCTCTTGTTTTTAAAGCAATGTGCAAAGAGATGATTTTTCATAGTCACTACAAGGCTTCTTTATATATATATATATATATATATATATATATATATATATATATATATATATATATATATATATAGGATCACATGCGGTAATAGGCTTCACGTAAAAGATGGGGTTTAATCTCAGCCCTTGATCTAAATCAAAATCAACAGCCCAGATTGAAGAAAACTTTTTAAAAAAAATGCAGTGGCAATTTGGTCTTTTTCCATATTGGTCAAACTTAAGGTGCAACGTTCTCATTCTTAAGGTGCATGTCTTGAGTTGAGAACTTAAGGTGCGTTTTTTTATTGAAACTTAAGATGCGTCAGTCTAAAGCTTTAGGTGCATCGTTCTCCTTCTTAAGGTGCATATATTTAAAGCTTAAGGTGCGTCACTTTTCTAGTTTAAGGTGCATCAGTTTAAACTTAAGGTGCGTTATTTTATACCTTAAGGTGCGTGGTTTTATAACTTAAGATGCGTAGTTTTATATCTTAAAGGTGCATCAGTTTGAGACAGTTAATCATTTGCATGCATGTTGGCAGAAGCCCGTTTTTTTTAATAATAATTTTTCTTTATTTGAGCCGTTGATCGGCTCAGATTTCACCCCATCGTTCACCTGGAGAGTCTTCGCACGTGAACTGATCCCTATATATATATATATATATACACACACACATACACTGGATCCTATGAGTATTTACATACAAAAGCTAGCAAACATGAATGGAATATCAGTGGGAATCAAATTTATAATGAGTTCAAGGAGTTCTATTTACTTAGGAATCAAAAGGCATCTTAAACAAGTTTGAGAATCCAACAGATTGGTGTAAACTTAAAAGGTAGCAATATAAAACACCTTACCTCAGGCAAAATGTCAATTTTTCGTCCTGCTGCTATTTCAAAGGAATATATTTTCGTAAGTGCTGATATTGCATAGGCCTGAAAAGTAAACAGAAAATTATAACCCCAATGTCTCAATGATGCCTCATAACAATCAATAATTGATATACAAAGTAAAATAAAATTAAATAATTATTGCAATTCACACAAAATGTCCCAGTGAACAAGGTCAACGTTCAAAAGAGCAAATCAGGCATAGAACTTGCACATCGCAATCTCTGAAAGTGTATGTGTATTCATCCTAATATAGCATTTAACCTTTTTATCCATATTTTAGCTCCAAAAAGATATTCAAACCCTCTTTCAGCTCCCTCACTCCTTAAAACAAAAGCCAAATATTGCCTTCAATCAAGCTCTAAGGTTTTGGTCATGATAATAGTACCAATGGTAAATTATGAGGAGTGATACACCAGTTACACCAGCAAGGTGAAAAGGTAGTGATGGCTCAAGTTCAATGAATAGTCAAGGTCAAGATGTACTCTTCACGTTCTTATGTGAAAAATAAGAGTAATTCATTATCTTTGTGGTAAATCTGCAAACAGTGTCCATGAGTAAACCTAACAAACTTATAACAGAACCTTAAACATTTACCACTTTACTAAAAGAACATGAGGTTATTTAAGACAAAATAAAGCGCAAAAAAATTGATTCAGAGTAGAGAAAAAGAATGTCATACCTTGACAGTGTCATCAGTTGAATGTGCCTCTGCAATATCACATATTTTCCCAGTTACATAGGCAGCAGAATACTTCCCGTCAGCAGTTCCATATTCTCCCAAGACCCAACAAATGACCTGCAAGTCATGCAAAAGAAATCAAATAGCATTCATTAAATTGACTTGGCAAATTTAGGAGGAAAATGGAGTTGTGTGTGTAGTAACTTATAACTTAAATAAGAGGGAAGATAAAATACAACTCCACATCTTCATCATGGATGAAAAGTTCTATTAAATGCTTGAATGTTCAAAGAACCTACTTGAAGAAATGCAGAGGGAAGTTTTGGTTCTCCCATGATGCGCAAATATGATTCAACCTGCAGTCAGTCAAAAAATTGGTTAACAAAAAATAATGTAACATAAAGGGGCCCATTTGATTTATGGATCACAGGGAAATATAAAATCCCATGCCTGGCTCTCTTTTACACGAAATTATTAGGTGAGCCTCCATCTAATCTCAATTGTGGGTTAGAGATGGGAAGGAGGTTGGGTTGAGGGGACAGTTAGTGAAAAAATCCCTTAATATTTATCTAAGGATGAATAATATAAAAGAAAATGGAACTGCACAAATTATAAAGTACAGGTCTTTGATGCAGGAATGCATAGCAGAACATAATTACAAAAAACTAATCATTGCGCTCTTAGACTTGAGAACCAGTGGCCAGTGTCAAATCAACAATGTGGCTAGTGTTAGGTTTAAGTATCAAGACCAGAGAAATTGGTTGTCTTTCAAGATGTTAAACACAGAGTTCCTTTACCTTCCCCTATTTAAACTTGTGAATATTTGTATAAATAATCATGATTTCATGATTAAGAATAAAAACTGAATGATTCCTATTAAAAAATTAAAAAAAATAAAATAAAATAAAATAACAGAATGTTATATATATACACACAAAAAATAGTCAAAGCATGCCACTGTATGATAGTTTCTAAGTAATTCTACTCAAAACTGCAAAGACATGGATAACTTCTAACTGAAGAAAATAATCGCCACAGTTAGTCTAGTTAAAGAAATTTACTAAAAGATGCTCAAGATGACATGGATACAGATGGATAGTCAAAAGATGTTAAAAAGTACATACAGCAGAGGATCTCAGCTGACTGTCAGCGCTATTATCATCTTCTCCAAACCCTTCAGCAATCAGTCGCATTAAATTATGTGCAACCTTTACGTTCACCAAATCTCCTGCATGCTCAAATACTTTATTCATAGTCTGTAAAATAAAACAGTTAAAGCAGCAGACAGTCAGAAGCAGAAAAATATAGCAGTACTGCATTACAAGAAGATGGTAAAGTATGATCTTGCACTACTGAATAACCTGAATAAACCATTGATTGCTTGGGGCAAATTGTTCTGCAAGTTCAACACATCTGGATGCTATTTCAGTTTTGTAATGGCTATCATTTAAGCTTATCATGTAATCAATCATGCGGTCCACAATCACTTCCACATTTGACGATTTTGTCATTTTATAAAGAAGTTCAAAAGTTTTTCGCTTTAGGGTGTCATCTGGATCCTGTATCACACAGCATATCAAAAATCAACTTTAGTGTAATTGAGCAAATGAAAGCTCCTACAGTCAAAAATGAATGCAAGACATTTATTTTAAAAAGAAAAAGACTTCTGCATTAAATCGATAAAATGAAGAAATGAGAAAAGCTTTATCAAGTAATTTCATCAAAAAGTACCAAGAAGAGGCCAGAAAGGTACTCATGAAAGTATCACTATTAACCTATGCACCAATTCTGTAGAGGGCGCAAATGGATAATTTAAATGAAGTATCATGTTTTAGTGTTACAAGAAAACCACTTGTTCTCTTTGTAAAGCCTAAACTTTGAAGATGCTTTATAGTGTTGCCCAACTTCTACTTTTTGGCGGAGGATACGCACCAAATAAGCATTTAAATGTAGGAATCATAGTAGCTATTTTGTCCACACTAAGCACCAAGGAGAGGGAGAAAAAGATGCAAATCAAGGTTCTATTATGCCAATAGGTTGAGAGAAAGAATTATAAACTATAAGAGCATGAAGAAAAAGTCAAATGAGTGCCTCCAAAGTACCAGCAACTGAAATATCATACTTTGAGTGCAACTCGGAAATAACAGTGTTCACCTCTAAGCAATCTATTACGGCCAGCTGGTGTTGCTCTGCAATTTCTGGGCTGATCTTTATCAACCTTCCAAGTGCATCAATGCCCAAATACTTAAGATTATGGCTATCACTCTGTCCACCATGTAAAAACAGAAATTAATCATGCCATTAAATAAAAAAAGAATCTACCTAAGAAGAAGGGGAACAAACAAACAAAAAAAAATCTCCAGAATACAAACCTTCAAGAATTTGGCAATTGCATCAGCTGCAGATTCTAATAGCTTGGGGCTAGGATGGATGGAGGAAACACAGCATATGCATTCATATAGAATAGCATTTCCTATATTACTTGTTGAATCGCACTTTCTCATTACTTCAGAAATAATGGTATACATGTGTTCACTTGTCTTTTTGTCACCACAACCCAGTAGTGCCAAAATTTTCAGCAATTTGATCTGCACAGTAACAGTGAAGATAATTATTCAGTAAAGGCCATATTAATCCAGGAACCAAAGAGCTAACAAGTGAACGCACAGGAGAGGAATATATGAAATGTCAAAGATTATTCAAACTGCATACAATCATATTCCACATTTGCACTACTGAAAATCAGGGGCATAGAATTCTATCTATATACCTGAATGAATGGTGCAGGTGTCTGATGATAATCATAGCTCTTTGGCAATCTCCGTTCAGCTACTTGCTTGAGAATGCTTACAAAGCTGACCACTAAATCCTTATAGGGCTCAATATCAATTGTAATAAGATCTAAAAGAGGACAGAGAGTAGCACCCATAACTCCAGGATCATTATCGCAGAGCTTCTGCAGCAATGATAAAATTTATGAACAGCATAAGTTCAAGTAAAAAGGACATGTGCATAGTATAATAAAACTTAAATCACATTGTTTTCAGACTTTTAAGACTTAGCACATTGTCATTGGAGTTAATGCCATTCAAACACATTCTGGTAACAAATAAAATCTTGTATTACTTTAATGCCCACATTCCCTTTCCATTCAGCATCACCTGGAAAATGAATATAAAGCTACTGAAGAACTATCAAATGGAGAGAAAGAAGCCAGTTTCTCCACTAAAGCAGCTTTTCATTTCGGATAGCATTTCACACGGCTTAATTCAGTTTCCCACAGTTCACTACTGAATTCAATGCTCAAAAAATGACCTTTTTCAGAAGTGATTGCTACAAAACTTATGATTTCAAAATAAATACTAAAATTCAAACACATTTTGGCCTTCAAAGTTGAAACCTTTCCTATCACTATTCACTAGTAATGTATTATTAGACATTCGAAAAGGATGCACCTTCCGGAAGTTGGAGATGAGGTGATGTACAGAAGATGGAGACTTCTGGTAAAACCGGTGGAGTGCCATGACAGCCTTTTTCCTAACAGCCTCCTTGGGGTGCCCCAACAGCTCCGTCACTTGAGGCAGCACTGCGGGGATTGTCTCCTCATTAATCAATTTACAAACAGCATTGAGCGCAGCACAAACGACCAAGTAATTATCCGACTTCAAGTCCTTCTGAATGGTGTTCACGATCAAGATAATCAAATCATGGTCCTCATTCAGAAACAATGTCACAGCGAGGTATCCAGTTCTCTTGAGCAACAAACTATCGTCGTGGGTCATCTTCACGGCGTGGATGTATCCGAAAGACGCATCGTGGCCGAGCATCTCCACATAGACGAGCCGAATTATGTACTCCTTCATCTTCCTCTTCGGAATATCGGGCTCCACGATGCGCCGCTTGAGCGTCTCGATCTCGTTGAGCACGATGCGGTCCTCTTCCGCCTTGGATCGGGTCTCGCCGATCGACTTTATAAGGTCCAGGAATTCCTTCGACTGACCGAACCCGCCTTGCGACCCCATTGCGAGCTCCCGCCCGATAGTCTTCAGCTGCTCCATCCTCGATTCCCGGCCAAATTTTACAACTCCGATCAGAACTCCCACCCTAATCCGATTCCCAGATCCTCAATTCGATTGAAGATGAGGTTTTGGAGTTCGGAGCTCAGCTGGGTTTAGACTTTAGGGCTTCAAATTTGGGCGATCTAATCCGAGTATAGTATCTGCAAAGTGTATAAATACAGAGAGAAGAAGATATGAAGATGATGAAGAAGACAACGATGAATCACCTCTTGTGAGGATGAAGAGTAGAAAACACGTGGAAAACAGGTTTGAGTTCTCTTGCTGGGGCCTCCTCGGTGGTTATGGCAGGTGAAAATCGCAGATTTTTTTACTCACAACGGAGAAAATAAGGAGAAAGACAGAGTTAAAAGGTAAAACACAAATGCTACATTCTACGCTAAAAAGTTACTCTCCAACATAAACTCGTTCTATTCGTTTGGTTGTATGAATTTAAGAGTTAATACCCAAAATGGTCCCTCGACTATGTTATAATTATTAATTTGGTCCTCAATTACTATTCGTACCTAATTAAATTTTCAATTATGTAACTTTTACTCAATTAAGTCCTCAACTATACAATTCTTACCCAATTTAGTCCTCAACTATACAATTCTTACCCAATTTAGTCCTCTGTATTAATTTGACTGTTTGTTGACTGTCAAAAGTCGGGATAAAATTATAATTTTACAAGATTTCTCCTTCCTCTCCATTTAGCAGCGCCAAACCATGCAGCAATACACTCCGATCAGATTTCGATCGTCAAAAAATCGTTGGAAATCAAATTCATGGGTTATCCGATGCATAACCACTACTTCGATACTGACAGGTTTAGAACCCAACCGGAGCTTATTGCTACATGGTTTGGCGCTGCTAAATGAGGAGGAAGGAGAAAACTTGTAAAATTACAACTTTATTTCCACTTTTGACAGTCAACAAACAGTCAAATTGACAAAGGACTAAATTGGGTAAAAATTGTATAGTTGAGGACTTAATTGGGTAAGAATGATAGTCGAGGACCAAATTGGTAATTACGACATAGTCGAGCGACTATTTTGGGTATTAACTCTGAATTTAATTTGATTAACGACACTTGTCTAAGGTTGATACAAATTTATTGATTTTTTATTTGAATATTATAATCTATACTTCTATACTATATATAAAAAACAAAATCCTGAAATTTTAACTTCTCGCCCAATTCCTAAAAAATATCTCTTCCTAATAAAATATATTGATTTCTACTTTCTCATTCGTACAATAATTCTGCATTAAAATTCTATTCTAATATTATAAAATAGTGTAATACAATCTATACTATCTATTCTATACTATATATAAAAATAAAATCCTGAAATTTTAACTTCCCGCCCAATTCCTAAAAAATCTCTCTTCCTAATAAAATATATTGATTTCTACTTTTCCATTCGTACAATCATTTTGCATTAAAATTCTATTCTAATATTATAAAATAGTGTAATACAATCTATACTATATATAAAAACAAAATCCTGAAATTTTAACATCAATAATTCTGGGTTATAATTCTATTCTAATATTATAAAATTGTGTAATACTATTCATATTCTAATCTATATCTATACTATATATCAGTGTTGCAAAAATCGAGCCGTTGGCCACGGCGAGGAAGGCCGGAATCGGCCTTCTCCACGGCCGCCTCGCTGGCTGATCCGACGTTTAATTATTTTTTTTAAGTTGAAGTGTCAAAAGTTCGGCAAGGCATAACTTTTTACTCGGTTGTCCGTTTTGGACAAATGTTTTTTTGAAATCGCGTATTTTTTCGAGATCTATCCACCACAAACTGCCGTAGGCGGTTTGGCCCACAAATTTCTTTAAAAAATACTTTATTAAATAGTTTCTATGAAAAAACTATGAGAAGCGTATGTTTTATTAATGAATTTTTAAAATTTTTAATTAAAAAATTGTCCTGTGCATTATTTAATAATCTTTCTTTATAATTGGTCAAATTATTTAATTATGGTAAATTATGGAATAATTAATTATGGTAATAGAAATCCTAGAAGAATATAGAATTGAAGAATATTTAATTATTGCTATATTATTATTGTGACTCACAGAATACAATACTACAATATTTAATTATGGTTATATTATTATTGTGACTCACGACCATTATATACTAACAGTACTTGAAAAGATACTAATAATAATAATATAATAATAATAATAATATAAGTGGTAATAATAATATCTAAAAGTAATTAAGTGTTAATAATAATAGTAAGAATATTAACGTAAGAATTATAACATAGAATAATAATTATAGATTTATAGTCTAGGATTAAATTTGAAATTGTCAGAAAAAATAAGCGACCTCTGGTGAAATTAACTCTTAAATAATTATATATCGATTTAAATATTCTTAATATATTACTACAATTCCATTCCGTGCATCGCACGGGTGAAAATACTAGTTATAATTATAATGTGATAGGAATGGCAATTTAATCTGGGCCCAATAGAAAAACTTGGTCCCCACCCCAACGGAATCACGAACAAATACCTTTTTCAGAAAAACGGGACGAGAATGAAGAGAGTTTCTCCATCCCACAATGGACGGGGACTAGGACGGGGTTTTTACCCGATTCAGACCCTAAATCTCCGAAATACATATATATTATATATAATGTTATTTATATAATTAGATGTTGGAAAAATTACAACTTGCATCCCTAAGTTATAGGGTAATTGAAGAATTCACTCTTAATTGTTGGTTGTGCTCAAGTTTTTCCCCTAAGCTATAATTGGCGTTGCGCTTTTCATACTTACTTTTCATTCTTAAGCTATACTAGCGTTGCGAATTCTGTCCCTAATGTTTTATTAGTAAAGGGACTAAAAGTGCAATATCAATGATAGTTTAGGGACGAAAATTGAACACAACCAACAATTATATATTGACGAATTCTATAAGTACCTTATAATTTATGGACGAAATATGCAATTTTCTATTACGCACTGAGGCTTGAACCCACAACTTCTCATATGGGAGTCCAACTTTGGTGCCATTATACAACAAGGTCTTGGCTACTCCATAATATTTATATGTGATAATATTTAATTGAGTTAATTCCACCATAGGTCCATTATATTTGGTGGCAATTCTAAATTTAGTCAGGCTAACGTTTTTGTCATTTAACATCCCAAACTATCTTTTTTTTTTTTTTTATACTTTTAGTCCTTCTCATGACTTGTCCTATTTTTAATAAGGGCACTTTTGTCTTAGATAAAATCTAATGGTTATAAACATTTCAGATAAAAGCTGATTCAAAGATGCATGTGATCTCTTTTATTGGAGTATGTGTGGAAAAGGACAAGCATACCAATGAACGGATGTGATCTTCGCGATCTAATCTAATGGTTCTAAACAATTCTGATCACGCCTATAAAAATGTTCTTCATTACCAACAAATTGAGCATTCATCCCCTTATCATCTATCTCTAAACATACAAATTCAAATATGAATTCCAACACTGGAAAACGTCCTATGTCATTTTCTTCACCATCATCATCACCGGATTCTGAGTACAACCCCGCAAGTGCAATACGAGCACAAACACAGTTATTAACCCATGCATATACTAGCGACAACTTTGTCATAGCTTCCTACATGGAAAATATGGATAATCAACCCCCAAGGCATGGAGGTTTGACTTTTGGTCATAGAGTGATTCATCGTGATCGTGAAGAAGCAGATCGAAGATTATGGAATGATTATTTTTCAGAGTATCCAAAATATTCTAAAGCAATGTGTCGTAGACGGTTTCGAATGAGTCGAAATTTGTTCCGACGAATTGTCAATGCTGTTAAAGGCCACGACAACTATTTTGTGCAACGGAAAGATAGAATTGGTAGACTGAGCTTATCTACTTTACAAAAAGTTACATCGGCGTTTCGAGTTTTGGCGTATGGAATACCAGCAGATGCAGCAGATGAATATATCCAGATTGGAGAATCAACTACAATTGAAAGTTTGAAGAGATTCTGTCGAGCAATTGTAGAGGTCTTTGGGGAGTGATATCTAAGAGCACCTGATGCTAATGATGTTGCACCGTTGCTTCAAATTGGCGAAAAACATGGTTTTCCAGGGATGCTTGGGAGTTTAGATTGCATGCACTGGACATGGAAAAATTGTCCAACTGCCTGGGCTGGACAATATGCTGGGAGGAGTAGGGAACCAACTATTATTCTTGAAGCTGTAGCCGATTATGATTTGTGGATTTGGCATGCACATTTTGGTATGCTGGGGTCGAATAACGACATTAATGTGTTGGAGGCATCTTATTTGTTTTCAAATCTTGCAAACGGTATAGCACCTCCTTGTCATTATGTTATTCAAGGACAACAGTACAACACTGGATATTATTTAGCAGATGGTATATATCCAAAATGGTCCACATTGGTACAAACAATTCATGAACCTCGAGGACTCAAAAAGAAGTTATTTGCGATGATGCAGGAAGCGTGTAGAAAAGACGTAGAACGGGCATTTGGAGTTCTCCAATCACGATTTGCAATAGTCAAGGGACCGACACGTTTTTGGGATAAATGTGTATTGCATGATATAATGTCATCTTGCATTATAATGCACAATATGATCATTGAGGACGAACGTGATGAGCAAGCAGATACACAAGGTTGGAAGGAAGCACCGACTCCTGAAGTTGATATAGCTAGAGATGAGAATATTATATTTCAAGAATTTCTTGCTCGGCATAGACAAATTAAAGATAAAGAAGCTCATTATGCACTCTGTAATGCATTGATTGAGCATTTGTGGGAACGATATAGTAATTCCGATAATTAAATGTACTAGATGTTGTATGTTGTATTATTATTGTGGAATAAATTAAATTTTCAAAAATATTGTTAAATTCGATTTTTAAAAATAATTAATGCTATAAAAAAATTAGTGTTAACAAAAATTATTATTTACATTACAAATTATATTTTATATTAAACTAATTAAGTTCGAACTAAATTATATTAAATTAACTAAATTCGAACTAATAATTGAAAAATAAAATTATTTTAGTGTAAAAGTTTGGTGTTTTGTATAAATGCGCTGGAGATGAATAAAATTTGGTGTGAGAATATGCGGACAATATTCATTCTGATGTGACATTTGATGGAGAAATTTGATGTTTTGGTGTTGAGTAGGTTGGAGATGCTCTTAGAACTTAGAAGTTAGAATCCCCTTTAATGTATCCCTGCATATGGTTGTGTGTTTTCAAGAACTTAAGCACAGACTGTGCTGTGCAATATGCAATGGCCTGAACGGTGACCATAGGATTGACGCCGAGAGCCGTTGGGAA